GCGCCTGAACAACTCGATGGACAATGTAACCCCAAGGTATAATATACTATTATGTGTCATCACATATTTGATATTAAGTTAAAAAAAATTCTAAAATGCCTACTTTCTTCATTCGAGAAACAAAATACATATTTGAAAAAAATCTGTTGATAAAATATTTACAATTATCGATTTTTTTGGTTTTGGTGTGGACTGAACTCAGAATGCTTGTTTGTGAAAAATATAGAAAGCTTTTAATAGTGTCTCAAAATTTTGTTACCTCTCATTTTGAAGTAAATTAGGATTTTATGTTGTTTATTTGACTACAAGAAACTGATGTCATTTACACTTTATATTATGCTAAACATACAACTATGTATTTCAAAACCAAAAAGGGGATAGGATGGTCTGTCCTAAATACAGGGTACATAGTAACCTAGCTAAGAAGATTAGAACTCTATCCATCTCTAATCACTATGGCCCACATGATGTATTATCATTATAAAAAGTATGTGAACTGAACTATATTACCATGTGATGTAGAGATAACTCTCAAAAGTATTTCAATTAATATAATTTTATTTAAAAATGTATGTATTCAATTTCAGAGTGACATGTACAGCCTTGGCATAATACTTCTGGAGATGGTAGAGCATTTTAGCACCGAAATGGAGCGTGTCAAGATCATAACAGATTTGAGGAAGGGTCAGATACCAGCCCGTTTGAGCGCCAACTTTCCAAAAATTGCCCATATCATCGGTAAACTAGTGCAGTGGAGACCGAGCAAGAGATTAGACACAAAGCAGTTGTTGGATGAGTTGAAGTATCTTTCAGAAGACAAAGATGAGACCATCAGATCTTTAAAAGAGGAGCTGGCTGCAAAGGATGACGAGATCGCGAAGTTAAAGATGATGTTAGCCAAATTCACTCCTTAATTTTTGCTGCTCAGTTATGCCAAAATCAATAATATTCTGGGATCTTGTTCTGACCAATGTACATACATACAATACTTGGTGTTAATGAACAGATTTCTTTAATCTGTTTTTCTCTCTTTACTTTGACTTTGGCAATTACTTTATAGGACGAAGAGTTACTTCCGCTATTTTCAATGCCGGATATTTGCTACATATGAGACGGTTATACTGCTATCTATAGGAGATCGTATAAACTACTACTTGCTATATATCTATACTGTTGTTTTTATATATTTTGATAATGCCAAATTTAAGATTATTGGTACATACCTATGGGGAAGAAAGGTTCTCAAGTGGCAGCCTCGTATCGGCAGGCGAATTGTAGGGCATTCTTCACTAGTTCGAGTGAAAACCTGATAAGACATGCAGGAAGTCGATGGATACAGGTGGCTCGGGTTCTTGATTTTGGCATTTCTTGGGGGAGGCCAATGTTCAGCAGTCGACTTGTGAAAGGCTGTAATAATAATGATGATGAAGATCGTCTATGTCACTTCTCGTAATTTCAGAGTGAAAAGCAATCACGCGGGGGGAATTAACCTTAATCGCCTATACTACCTATATTTAATTGAATGAATAATTATGTAAAATTGGGCCTATTACTTATTTTTATTGAAAAATCAATTATTTTTAATATATGGTAAAGTTGAGGATTAATGTTAAGTACTATGTTAGACGAAAACACGATTCCGTAAAATTTCCTCCATAGAAAAAAAAATCCAAAGTTATCTCCAAACTGAACAATAAATCGATGGTATTCATAAAATACTTAAAATTAGATCATGAAAGTTTGCACACTAACTGACCTAAGTATAAAGCAGAGCTTATGTTTTTTTTTAAATTACCATTATTTTCGTCATTACTTTCACTGTAAATAGATATTACCTTGTTCCGTGCCGCCCGATCTGTCTGGCTTCGGCTTTCGAGCGGGAAAGCTGTTTTGCTTAAGATCAGAATACACAGTACGCAACAGGACGACGTAAAATTAAAATAGGAAATAACTGTAATAAAAATAAGAAGCGACTGGGTTGGCGTAAAGAAACAGGCATAAATATGATAAACCTAATGAAATAAGTATCTAACGACCTATCTCCTTACAGTATTGGTGATTATGAACATGTCGGTAACTAGCATATGACGCGCGGGGAAGTGGGGGTGAAATTATAATTTGAGCTGAGGTAGTATAGGCCCTTAAATTTGACTAATTATAAAATTCTATGAATTGCTAAACATATAACCTCGAATGTCTTGACGGGCACTGGTAGGGGCAGGTATGAGCTTTTGAACTGTTTGATTTTGTTTATTTTTTCTTAAAATGGAATTTTTGTAAGTACCTACACATTCAAATGGCGATTTAGAACAGCTCAAGAATCATGTCACGCATGGACTGTACAGGTAAGGAGAATCATCTCTGTACTAAAAAGTGTCCTTAGGAAAGCGCTAAATATGGGTGGCGTCACTTTAGTTAGAGGGTAAATTTTTAATAATTTTTTATTACTTTATTGCACTGACTTTTCACAATGATTATTTTCTATAATAATAAAATTATTGTTTTCAAAGTTTTTATTTTTAAAATTACTCTCAACTTGTTTCACGGCGAGTTTTTCTAGGTTATGTTTACTAAATTATTTAAGCCAACGTGAGTAGTAATGAGGCTTCAAATACTGCAGTTTCATCAACTACTCTAGTCACCACAAATATTGAATTCCTTAACTCAGCACGATTCACTCCGTCGACAACTGTTAAGTTCATTTCATACCTTCTAGCTACTCCAGCGCTGTTGTAGAGAGTTTTTGAACTGTTGTTTACTACTTATGCGCTCTCTACACTCGGCAGCGAATCACGGCGTGAAGTTGCGGATCCGCTAGCGAATGTGGAGGTTAGTAGCTTTCGCGCCAAATTCACGGCATACTAATCCTTTGTCCCGGGACAAAAACCGACAAATTTCGGGAATGAGGCGCGAACGTGAAGCGAAGCTGCGAAAAATATACGAATCGGAGCCACACTCATGTTTCGCGGGTGGTTCGCGGATACGCGCGCGATTCACGGGGGAATGTGGAGTGGCCTTTACAGATGGACACTTTTCAACTATTCTCCTATGTGAGATGGTTTTCCTAACCTCTATACTCCATGGTGTCACGGTTATGATTTTTTTAAGCCAATTATTATGATTCGCGTTTCCTTCTTTACACAGCAGTTGCCCATATGTGTGATGTTGATGAAATGTTTTCTTTTTGTAATAATTACATTTTATTAGATTCATAGAGGTTTAAACACGTTAAAAACACTATACTTAAACAAAGACTTATCACCGCCACAATTGCCGCTTCATAGGTAATGTAAGTAAATAACAATGTAATATTGAGAAATTGGAACTTGCACAATGTCCCAACTAATCCCCAATACTTTTTAAATGAATTGTATGTGCAAGTTCCAATTTCTCAATATTACATTGTTTATTATTTACATCACCTATGACGCGGCAATTGTGGCGGTGATAACAGTTTTTAATGAAATAATAAGTACAATATTCTCTGTAAATTTTTCATTGTAATTATAATTAATTTGTTGGTGGAAGGTACTAAGGTTTTATGAAATTAATGTTAATTGAAATGTTATAATGATTAATAATTTTTAATTATTTTTACAAGTATCTTAACCTCAGAAATCATTCCTTAATAAATTTAAGAAAAAGAAAGTATTAACCCCCCCCCCTTTTTTTGTAGCTATTTGATTATATACAAAATGAAAAATCAAGGAATATATTTTTTTTAATATTATGGAATTATTTGAACGTTTTAGTTTAAAAATTGTAATTATTGACTAGGTATAAAATGCGTGGGAGGAAAACATTTTTTTATAAATTATTAATTGAACGTCACAGATTGTTGTTACCATCTGAAATACTTATCGAGAACTCTACTTAAACATATTCCATCTTATTAGTTTAAGGTTATAATTAGTCAAAGATATAAACTAGAGCACGATTCAATATAGAAGTCAGATGATTATATAGCAATTGCAAAACTTCGCAGACTGTTGTGCCGTGGCCAATGGATTTCTTACCCGACAAAGACCATTTTTATATTGTTAAACTTGCAGTAATTTTGTAAAGCTGTTTAAGTATTTAAATTCTTCCGAAAACAATTTGTAACTTTGTAACATATACATATTAACGTACAACTATTTACAGAAAATTTGAATATACCTAAAAGTAGAAAAATTAAAAAGAAAGTTAATAAATGTGCAAAAAACTAATAAGCAAGCCACTGAGGCATTGTTTTGTGTATTTAGGTATTCTAGAAACAATTCTCAGTTTTATTGACATTGTGTAACAAAATAATAAATTCACCTCAACGTCATCTCAGTTCCTCCTAGCGCCATCTGGTGAGCGGAAGATTTTTCTACCAAGACTTCGCATATTTTTGCGGCATTTCACTCGTGAAACAAATTTTAGTTTAAACTTTAAACTTGTGACTAATTATAAACCACTTTCGGAACCTCAACATCTTTTAGTTAGAGGAAATTTTTTTATAGAAAAATTTTTGGATTTTTTGGCATATTGGAGCATCTACCGATTTGTACCTCATGCTTTGTAAGAAATCTTCAACTCGAATGCATAGAATTTCTTATCACTTAAACTTGGACTGTTATTTTTTTGATGCTTTTGTATTCTAAAATATGTAGTCTGATGTGATTTGAAATATAAGTTCCTGTCACAAAGTTACAGTCAATATCTACTTAAGAAACGTGTGTTTGTGTGTTTGTGGATAGTTAAAATCAAATAAATTATTCACCAATACGAGTTGTTTTATTAAAAGAAAATGCTCAATATGTCGATAACTTTATTTACAAAAAAAAAAACGCAGCATAAATTATTATCTTAGTCTAATTTTATATTTACAGTCTTAAAATATATGTTTTCATTGATAAAACGAGCCTGTACAGGCAGCTTGTGAAGCCGCAAGATTAAAAAAATATTTCCAAGATGTCTGAGTCCGAGCTTCACTGAAGCTAATTTGGCTGGTAATTGTGACACGCGCGCTCTGCTCACAATATGTTGTCGATAGCATGGATCACGCCGTTTGTAGCAGGGATGTTGTGCGTGACGACTTGCGCGTTGTTGACTTTGATGCGACCTGTGATTAAAAATAATATCCTTTTATCTATCTATTGCTAGTATATTTAAAATCAAAGAAATAGGGAGTCATTAATGCTTTTTTTTAAATTAAATAACGTAACAAGCGAGCACAGCCCATCTGATAGCAAGCGGTTACTGTAGTCAGTAGTCATCCATCGTCGGTTAAGAATCAAAATGTAGATGCGTCGTTAACTCTGAGGATAAATATGGAATATTTTGTTTCCAGTTAATTGGACAGGAGGTATTATGTGATTGCGTGGTCCTTTCTCGGTGAAGCTAGCCTATTGCTGCAGTCCGAATGTAGCTGCAGCGGCATTACCACGTATAAAAATCTTGTAAAGTATGTTATACATACATACATACATAAACACTCACGCCTGTCACCCAGAGGGGTAGGCAGAGACTACAGACTTCCATTTAGCACGATCCTGACATACCTTTCTCGCCTCTTCCACATCCATATACCTACGCATACATGCTCGTCGGTTAAGGGTACTCTTAATTTGACCCATTTTTAGTATATGCCAATTTGGTCGACAACTTGCTAGAGTCTTTCACTCTTCCATTCACTTCTGCAACATATATTTGCTTTGTCAGTTTTCGCATTAATTCTTTACATGACCAAACCACCGAAGCATTCCTTTCTTAATCCTGGTCACCGCATCATCTTACAAACCACACTCTTCTTTTATCACACAGTTTCTCACCCTGTCACTCAGATTCAGCCCTAACATACTCCTTAGCGACCGCATTTCTACTGCATTTATTCTACTCTCGTGCTTCTTCTGCCACACCCAACTTTCACTACCATACGTTAAAGTAGGGACTAATACAGCACTGTGAATTGCCATACGTGCCTTTTTTGACACATTCTGACTTTTCACAATAGAGTGTAGAGCCCCATTTACTTTATTTCCTGCATTCAAAGTATGTTATGTATCATATAAACAAATATGAAATTGTGATTTTATTTGTATTTGGCCCAAACATGATTCCATGCACCTGAAGTGATTTTCGATATGTGTGAGCGGTATTCAGAGATGATCTTTCTCGAAACTCAAACTCCAGAATTTCGAAATTTGAGTTTAGGCCATACTATTTAACCAAACTTTGACATTGCTAAGTTAAAATTTACACTCGAAATCGTATTTGAATACTTGCTGAGACACAAAGTTAACAGGAGAGGGGAGTAGGAGTCATGTCCTCGCAATGTGCTCTCTTCTAACTACGTCCATGACGGACGTCGAGTTTACAAACAAAAAAACTAAACATAGTTAAGTAAAAAGAGTCCATCGTTCCAAAAGCAACTTTTGAAGGACACACACTAGAAGTTTGGATCAATATTCAGTAGCAGTAGTTAGTATATTATTGTTGTGTTCTGTTTGTAATTTTCATTTTTAAGATTTTGCTAAAATTGTTGTTGTCATGGAACTATACGTTATATTTTCTTACGGTCAAAGACCTTAAAGATTATTGAAAAGAAAGGCGCGTTGTGAGAGTTTTGGATGGGTAAAATTTTATGAGTTCGTATTTAGCAGTGGTCCTTCACTGCTGGCCGTATGAGGACGCTCAAGGTCGCTCAGCGAGCTATGGAGAGGGCTATGCTTGGAGTTTCTCCGCGTGATAGACTCAGAAATGAGGATATCCGCAGTAAAACCAGAGTGACCGACATAGCCCAACGATTAGTAAGCTGAAGTGGCAATGGGTCGGCCATATAGCTCGAAGAACCGATAACCGATGGGGAAGAAAGGTTCTCGAGTGGCAGCCTCGTACCGGTAGGCGTAGTGTAGGGCGACCCCCCACTAGATAGAGTAACGACCTGGTAAGACATGCGGGAAGTCGATGGATGCAGGTGGCTCAGGACCGTGCTTTGTGGCGTTACTTGGGGGAGGCCTATGTTCAGCAGTGGACTTGTGAAGGGCTGTAATGATGATCAGCAGATGAATGATGAGCATAGGTGGACTGGGTCTGTACCTTTATGATGATGATTTAGCAGTTTAAAATAATTAAAATATCTATAAGTACCGGGCTTGCGCAGCCCATTATAAGGCGATAATAAATAAACCATATAAAATTGTATATGTAATTGTTACTCGGAGGATTTTAATTTAGAAATTATGAAATTTTAAGTTTTGATTCTAAAAAACTTAAAATTTCATTAACATGTGAATGAGCAATTATCATTTTGTAAATGAAAAATTACAAAATGTTAATTGCTTATTACTTGACATTGGCAAGTGTCTCTGGACGTGTACCAGTTCGTAACCAAAAAAAAAAGAAACTGACCGGAATTCTTCTGGAGCGTAAGCGGCTTGGCGTCCTCCATGGAGTTGCGCAGCTGGTAGTAGCGCATGCCGGCGCTGTACAGCGTGCCGGGAAGCACGTGGCGCGCCACCAGCGCGCGCGCGTCCGCTTTGTCCGCGAGCCGTACCACCTCGTGCGCTGGAAGACGCGCGAACGCCGCGTCCGTTGGCGCGAAAACTGTGTACGTTTTGCTCTCTGCAAACAATAATAAAGGTTTTCTCGTGGTAAACAAAGGGAGAGATCTTCCGCCGCCAAATGTGTTCACAGAGTAGTAAATAGAATAGAATATTTTTTTTATTCAATATAGATTACAAGTAATTCTCATTGAGTCATTTTTTTATAATGCCGAGGGCGTTGGTGCGAAAACGTTTCACGCTTTTTTCTCTATGGATATATTTGGAAATCAGTTGTTGTTCGGACAGTTTACGCTATTGTTTTTGTTTATAATAAGGGTGATAAACGAGCACACAGGACACCTTCTGTGGCCCATAAACACCTTCATCCCAACATTGATGTCCTCCACAGAGTCATGGAGAATTGTCACCTCTGACGACCAGAGACCTTTTTACTGGAATGCTTATTTCCAGTAAGAATAGTCTCTGGTTCTCTCTTCTCTCACACCATGTGAAACATCAGCATTAAACTGCTGTTTAACGTCGGTATTCTATGACAGCGTGGTCCGTTCCAGGGCAAGTCGATGTAGATTTACTTATTGTGCTACAACCGTGACATAGGTGCATTGTGATTCTACCACATATATTGTACCGCGATGATAGCGCCACCACTTAATGGATGCCTGACAGCCGTTAAATTATACTGGCTGTCTATGCCATTCAGATCGGAACACAAAAGAATGATGTTTAGCGGCAAAAATAGGCAAACAGATGGTACAAATAGTTGTCCATAGAGTATATTATATACTAATTCCAACTCCTAGTGCTGTCAATGAGTTATTTTATTTGACACAAAACATCCAAAAAAAAAATTATCCCCTAATTTACCATAATATTGAATTTTTATAAAGGTAAATAATTTAAAACAATTTTATCACAGATGTTTAAGTAAATATGAAAAGACCAAACAAAATGTCCAGTTGTTTCACATTATGCAACTTTTTTTTTTATAGAAGAGGGGACAAACGAGCATGCGGCTCACCTGATGTTAAGTGACTACCGCCGCCCGTGATCAACCGCAACACCAGGGGAATTGCAGGTGCGTTGCCGGCCTTTAGAAAGGAGTAAGCTCTTTTCTTGAAGGTCCCCAGGTCGTATTGGTCCGGAAAAATTGCCGGTGGTAAACTATTCCACAGAGAGGTTGTACACGGAAGAAAACTCCTTTTGAAACGTACAGTGGTGGACCGCCAAGCATCCAGATGGTGTGGATGGTATCGGGACGTTTGCCGCGTAGTGCGTTCACGAAATTTGGCGGCTGGGATTAATCCGAACAATTCCTCAGAGCACTCCATGGTATATGCGAAAGAAAATGCAAAGAGATGCAACATCTCTTCGCAGTGCCAGTGAATCGAGCCGATCTGAAAGCACTCGGTCGTCGACCATTCGAGCCGCTCTGCGCTGGATGTGGTCAAGTGGAAGGAGCTGGTAATGGGCCCAGCCCAGAGATGGGAACAGTATTCCATGTGCGGCCGAACCTGCGCCTTGTAAAGTTGCAGGCGGTGTGCCGGCATGAAATACTGTCCCGCTCTGCTGAGCACGCCAAGCTTTTTATAGGCCAATTTGGCCTTCTCTTCCAAGTGACCACGAAACTGCACGTCACTCGATATGTCGACGCCGAGGATTCCGATACTGGCTGAGGCAACAAGGGGAGTGCCTTGAAACTGAGGAGATACGACAAATGGGTTAACGCGCAAACTTGTGTCTTTTTGGGGTTAAACTGGACTAGATTTAGTCGCCCCCAATCCGAGACTCTGTTCAGCGAAGACTCGACTTCAGACAGAAGTTTGTCCCGGCACTCGGAGACGTTTTCCCGAGATATGTTGGCTCGGCCGGTGTAAAGAGCATCACCAGTGCTGTCATCTGCATAGCAATGAATGTTACGGGTTTGCAACATATCATTGATATGCAGAAGAAACAGCGTTGGCGAGATAGCACACAGCCTTGTGGAACACCAGAATTAATAGGCTTGCAATCGGAGCTTGTACCGTCTACAACGACCTTGATGCTCCGATCTGCAAGAAAGCTGGTGATCCAATCGCACAATTTCTCGGGAAGCCCATAGAAAGGGAGCTTCGAAAGAAGCGCTTTGTGCCAAACCCGATTAAAGGCCTTCGCAATGTCCAAACTAATGGCCAACGCCTCCCCCTTGGACTCTACTGCCTTCGCCCATCTGTGAGTTAGGTAGACCAGAAGATCACCAGCTGACCGACCACGGCGAAAACCGTATTGGCGGTCACTAATCAGCTGTTGATCCTCAAGGTACCTCATAAGCTGGCAGTTTACAATGGACTCCATTGTTTTGGAGAACAAGAAGGTGATGGCGATTGGCCGGTAGTTGAACGGGTCTGAGCAGTCGCCCTTTTTAGGGATCGGGTGGACGAAAGCCGTCTTCCATGATTTTGGGACTACGCCTAGGGAGTAGGAGTACCGGAAAAGACGCGTTAAAACCGGTGCCAACTCTGGAGCACACGTCCTCAGCACAATTGGGGGGATTCCGTCTGGCCCACTCGACTTGTGGATGTCCAGGGAGAGGAGTGCTTTGCGAACCGAGCGCTGTGTGCACACCGCGGGATGGTCGGCGGCGTACTCCCCTCGTCATCGAGAGTCGAGTTGGACGCAAAGAAAGAGCCTAGAAGATCGGCTTTCTCCTTTGCGGTATGGGCCAGTGAGCCGTCCTCCCTGTGCAGAGATGGAAGAGATGGCTGACAGAAATTCCCCTGGACAGCCTTGGCGAGAGACCAGAATGCACGGGTTCCAGAAGGAAGGTGAACTAGTTTCTCGCCAATTCTGCCTATGTGCTCTGACTTTGCCTTGGTAATGACTCTTTTGAAGGACCTAGAGGCGGAATTATACTTCTTTTTTAGAGCGCTGGTGTTTACATCCCGGGACGCTGATGTGTCAGCCCAGGCTTGGTAGCACTCCTGCTTATAGCATGATGCTATTTTACAGGAGCGACCAAACCATGGCTGATATTCGCCTCCAATGGGCACCACAGAGGAAGGAATAAAAAGTTCCATACCCTGAAGTACCACATCAGCGACAGAATCCGCAACAACGTTGGGATCGTCCGGCGAGAAGCAAACCCGCCCCAAGGGTAGATTGCAAAGAAAGACCGCATCCCATCCCAATCGGCTGACCTATAGTGCCAAACACGGCGGCAGCCTGCAGAATGCAACTGCGATTTCAGCGTGAGTGGCACCACACTCCGGACAAGACAATGGTCCGAGGAGCCTAAAGGGGCGTCGACTGAAATCTGATATTCGTCCGGGTGAGAGGTCAGCAGAAGGTCTAACAGGGAAGGTGCATGATCCTCCACATCTGGAATCCGCGTAGGCGAAGTAACCAGTTGTGTCAGACCATATGCCAAGGCAAAATCATGAACAGATCTCCCCGCATGATCGGTTAAACGTGAACTAAGCCGTTGGACGTGATGGGCGTTAAAGTCGCCGAGGATCACGATCTCTGCGGAGGGGATCTGCTGTTGCAACGAATCTGTAGCCATTTATTTGGCCGTGGTCGAAGAGTCGGTCCGTTTCGGCATTACCAACTATATAATATATATACCAACTATAGCTTATTGTATGAAAATATTTGAGGCTAATGAATGATCACGGTATTAATACAAAAATCGTGGTTCCTTTTTAAATAATAGCATTACACTGTATACAAAATTTGTCAAAAAACAAGTTTAAACGTTTTGTTAAAGAGAAATTGTACAAAAAGAGTTATTATAATATCAAAGAATACATAAATGAATAAAACCCATGGGAATAAGGTGATGCTGGTTCTATTAAAATTAATTTAAAAAATTGTACAAAATTATTGTAAAGTGAAATATGTTTATAAATATAAATTCCGCTGGGTTTCTTCCTGGTTCTTCTCTGGACAGAGGTACTCGTATTTTCCGAACCAGTGGTAAAAAAATGACTATTAAGAAATAGGTATTATGTTATAATCTATTATAGCTATTGAATAAAAATCTTTCTAATCTATTCTATTCCATCGCCAAACTTATGTAATAGATATCATTTTATAATTTATTAAATAAATTAATTAACGCACTTTTCTCTTACTTACAACACAAACCAAGGTCGTATGGTCGGCTCTATCCATTTTATCTCTAAAGCAAAGTAAAAAAGTAAAGTTACAGCCTATATAACGTCCCATTGCTGGGCACAGGCCTCCATTTCTGAGAGGGTTTTAGGGCAAGGAAGTGTCCGCCGAGCTGCCCCAATGCGTGTTGGCTAACTTCACATATCCTCGAAATATTTTTTTTTCTTATTTCTCAGACATCCAGGTTTCCTCACGATGTTTTCCTTCACCGCCAAGCACGTGGTAAATCAGCACTTAAAATTGCAATTAACAAATTCATTGGTGCCGGCGGGGATCGAACCTGGGTTACTCGCGTTCTGTTATATTTACAGCGAGCCTTAACCATCTGAGCTACCACGGCTCTATAAATAATATAAATAATTTATCTCTATAAATAATTTTTTTATGTCTTTAAATTTAATCTAAATTTTTTCGTATTTTTAAATCAGTAAAATTGATGGATTATAAATAATTCTTCAACGCTTCATTCTTCAGACATGATTCACATTCCTACAACTTACTCGGCTACTTCGCACCTGGTTAGCAAATCACATTTTTTAAACTTATTAAAAGCCGGTACTTGGCCACAATCCCACCTGATGTCTTATCGTAACAAAAGCCCCGATTGTATTTGAACGGAAAGACAGACGGTGGCAAATATCTTCGAATGAAGCGACTTTTATATGATCGAACTTCACATCGGGGAAGTTTGATCATCTAAAAAGGGCACAAAATCGACACGGCATAACCATGAGGTGCATAAAAAATATTTCATGGTGATCTTACCTGACAGGGTATCCGCAAAACCACTAGCCTGTATGGCTTTGAGGAATGTTGTGAAACGGCGGTCTCTGTCTGCCTGCAACGTTTGGATTATGTCGCCCACCGGCAAAGGAAACATGACTCTGTCCACTGCATGCGCCATTCCCTGAAACATTATTTTTTTTTTTGTAAATATTTCAAATTTTCATAAATTTTGTGTATTTACACCATAGAATACTATAATACAAAATAGAATGGCTGTCAACCTTATTTTGTACGAGGATAGGCGTCGCCGAGAGCACACATACAAGCGATTACGTCGTATTATCAGTTATTCACTACTAAAAACCCGATTCGCTTTGTTGACAGACAGATTTTAATACATAAAAAGTTAAAGTTAAAGTTACAGCCTATATACGTCCCACTGCTGAGCACAGGCCTCCCTCATTTATGAGAGGGTTTTAGGGCGGGAAAGTGTCCGCCGCGCTGCCCCAATGCGAAATTTTAATACATATTTATTTGTAAATAGCACGCAATTTGGTATTTTCTAAATAATTTGCATGCAAATTCCGAAACGGTACGCTCATCTCGTGTTGAATTTATACTGTGAATTACGTTAGTGGCATTTTAGTGGCTACACCGGCTCCGCCCACTCCTCCGTTGTATTATGTATGTATTATAAAAAAAAGTTAGTATTTCAACCGTGATGATTTTGTACAAGCTTTAATGTAAGTAAGTAAATTATTATCACCATCATCATCACAGCCCTTCACAAGTCCACTGCTAAACAAAGGCCTTCCCAAGTAATACCACAATTGCGGTCTTGAACCACATGTGTTTCATATGGTTAGTGTAGAGAACCGGGGACTCTTTTTGCGTCACCGTATTTTATCCAGTCAACCCGGCACTACTGAAGAAACAACAAGTTTCAACGGGATCAAAGGTTTTCTCTTAATCCATAAAAGCAAAAGGCAGATTGTACTCTTGGGTTTTCTATACATTTTGCTAGAGAGTATTATGGAAACCAGTTTGTTCGTGAGGCTGAAAATCGTCAAGGCTGCGTGTGAGACGATTCCTAATAACTCTCGCAAATAGCACGTAGATGCGGTTCAGAAAGGGAATCGGTCTATAGTAGATCGTTGTCGCCTTTTTTGAAGACTACTACTCTTGAAAAACATTTCCGGAGTAGCGCCATAATTATAGACGGAATGGAACAGCGTCTGGAGATCTTTAGGCGTCGGCTTCCACCCTCTTTCAGAAACTCCGTTGTATTGCTTTTGTATCATTGAGTTTATTATCATAAGTCCCTAATATAGGACTAGTCATTGTGCTACAGTACTTCAAGCAGTCGGGCTCCCGACCACCCCATATATATGTACAACTGCAGGTATGTATCTCCGGCAGCTCCTCCATACAAGACATCTATACATGAACACCTTCCACAACTTAGGAAAATTTTCTTTTATACATGAACTCCTTCCACAACTTAGGAAATTTTCTTTTATACATGAACTCCTTCCATAACTTAGACAATTTTTAACAAATTTTCTAATTATCTTATGTTATTTATCTTTATTTTTATAATATTTTCGACTTGTATTTCTATTATTTATCTTATTTTAAATATTTTTTCAAGCTTTTAAATAAATTTATTTATTATGAAAGACAATATTTTGCCTTTAATTTACTATGTTATTGGTCTAATGTCTGACATGTATTTATATTAACTTTATGTTTATTAATGTAATTTTATTGCTTAATATATATATTTTAAGACTATTTTTGATGCCCCTTTATATTGAATTTAATTATTAATAATAATATTGGGCCGTCATACTATGTACGTAATACTATTAGAATATCTCTACCGATACGGTAGAGACTAACTTACTCTCAAATAAATCAATCGGACAAGATAGAAGACTCTGACTAAAATATATCAAAAAAAAAATCATTCGGGAAGATATTCGGAAAACTGTATTTATTTGATTACTAACTTAGTTAATAGAAGATAAATGATATAAATAAGTAATATTAAAACTTCAATAACTTGAACCCAAATATGGAATCTGTGATACCTATTTGATTTAAAAATGTAAAATATATAATATGTAAAATTAAAAAAAATCGTATCGTAGGCCATGATTGTTTTTGAAAATGATTCATGAAACTACTCTCGAATAGTAATGACATGATCATTGCTATTCGAGAGTAATTCCTTACTTTCAACCGACTTTAATAATAGAAGGTGGTTCTAAATTCGACTGTTCGTTTTTAATGTGTTACCTCAGAACTTTTTTCTAGGTGAACCGCTTTTGATTATATATTTTTTTTAAATCTGGTGCTTTTCGTGTGGCCCCATATAAATTGAATCAAGATCTGACGAGTTGTTTTTAAATCATCGTTAATGATGAGTATTTCATTGACTTCGAATACATTACATGTTCCCATTTTATTTATATTGAAGTCGGTTGTACAAAATTTTAAATTTTATCACTTGTTTCACTATCAATTAATGGTGTTCAGCAATGCCATATTGTAAAAAATCTTGTGTATTTTTCTATGAGCTAAAAACAAAACTATGTTCTTTCATTACCTGAGGAATATGGATATCCTTTTTATCTTCTAGAACTCTGGCACCGTTGATTGTTGTAACCCGCACTTCGTTCCACTCCACATCATGCATGTCGTATTGATTGACCCGAAGTTGCGTGCCGGCGAGGGAGACTCCAGTCATCTCGTCTTGAAGTGAGGCGATGTCGAAAGCTCCAGGGATGACATGATGAAGAAGAAGCTGGTACAAGAATGGAGTTATAAGATCATTAACGAAAAATAAGGATATCCATCCAAAATATAAAGAATCAAAGATAAATTCATTTGGACTCTGATAATGATATCATCTAGGTTAATTTCGACTATCGCGACAATTTACTAATAATTTCAGATGCAATGAATCGTGCAGAAGATAGTTTAGTGTTATATATACACGTACCAACGGCTAGCGGATCCATGGCGCGTTGGCTTAGCATTAATTTCAGCGCCAAGGGTCGCGGGTTCAAATCCCGCATGGCATAAGTACTTGTATGGCCTACAAATAATTGTTCCGGGTTTGTATATTTATGCTTGTGTCATTTATGTTTTTAAACTGCCTTCACTACGTTCTAGCGATATAATTCCTATATGTAATTAGAATCCAGAACCTAATTACTTAATACAGGTTACTACCTTACTACCTTAATACAGGTTAGGATGCAGAGTCTGAGATATATGTGTAAAATCATATTAAGTCTCAAGTAAAACAGCTTGTGTTTTTACGCAAATGATAAAGGCTGGGATTTGAGCCTAGGACCCGCAATAAAGAAGTCAGACACTAAATCACAGTTCTATATCGTTTTAGAACAATTTTTTAAACGGAATTTATTTCTAATAATAAATAAAATAAAATAAATAGCACTTTTAAATTTCTTACCCCACTCAGTAGTCTTGGATTATCTCTGAACTTTTCCTCAGCTCTATCTGGCCCACCAAGTTGTACCAACAGAGTCCTGAAAGCTTTGTCCGTCGGCGCGAAAATCGTGTACGGTCCAGTTTCATTTAAAATCGTGTCCAAACCTGATTGTCTCAGGTATTTTGCGGTAGCAAAAAGTCCGTTTTCCTTCAGAATATCCACAAGACTCGGGTTAGCGTTTTTAGAGATCTCCGGGAAAGATTTTGGTTCCTCAAATGTGGGTGGAACTGTACTACTTCCTATAATGACTAAAGACTCTGTAGTTGTTTGATGAGTAGGAGTGGTATTAACGATTGTTGAACTAGGGAATGAAGCTCTTGATGTTTGATCTTGATTATTTCTGTTTATTATGTAACGAGGTGCTGAAGATTTAAAAACAAATCTTTCTGTAGTGGTTCGCGGTGGGAAGGGAGAATATGTTTGAGCTTGATGTTGCGTTGTTCTTGATGGTTGCTCAGTGTTTTGATAATATGATTGAGAGTGATGTTGCGTTGTTCTTGATGGTTGCTCAGTGTTTTGATAATATGATTGAGAGTGATGTTGCGTTGATCTTGATGGTTGCTCAGTGTTTTGATAATATGACTGAGGTTGATGTTGCGTCGGTCTTGATGGTTGGTCAGTGTTTTGATAATATGGTTGAGCTTGATGTTCCGTCGTTCTTGATGGTTGCTCAGTGTTTTGATAATATGATTGATCTTGATGTTGCGTCGGTCTTTATGGTTGCTCAGTGTTTTGATAATATGATTGAGCTTGATGTTGCGTCGTTATTGATGGTTGTTCAGTGTTTTGATAATATGATTGAGCTTGATTTTGCTTCGTTCTTGATGGATGTTCAGCATTTTGATATATATTAGGTACTGGAGTGGTATGGATCAAAGGATGATTGTGTCCTGAAGTTCCGTCGTTGGACGTTGTTACAAAGCTACTGTAGCTTGAGGGATTATGAGAGGATTCTGCTACATAATTAGTGGTAGGGTTTGTTGGAGCAGCAGTTGTTGAAGTGTGTCCAGCGTTTGAAATTTTTGTAGAACCGGGTAGTTGAATTTCACCTTTCTTAATTTTGTTTATAATGCTTTCTACCTCTGGTCCTTCTTCAGTTTGCTGTCCATTTGCTTTAACACCCTTAACCTTATATGATCCATCGTCTTGTTCTTCCAGAAATACAAAAGTAACTTTCTTTTTATTTTGAATAGAGTTGGGAAGTTTCGATACTTCTTCTAGTTTTCCATTTTCGGATTGTTTAATAAGTTCAAAATTAGCACCAGGTGGTAAAACACCTTTAGTCAGATCTTCAAAAGAAACAGGATTTTCTTTTTGTTGTTCTTGGTTAGCAGTTACAATTTTGGCAATATTTGAACTATCAGCAGTTATTGCTCCTTTTGGGATTAAATTTGGATTAGTGGTTCTTATGACTTCAAATTTTTGTCCATTTAAGGATATTTCTCGCGATGAAAAGTTTTTTTCGTTGAAATCTTCGGGATTTTCAGCTAAAACTACTTTCAGCTGCTTTAAAATATCTGGTTTTTGGAGTAATTCTACGCTTTTTGCTCGTAAATTATCGTCAAATCCTTTGGTCTCGCTTTCGTCAAGCAAGTTTTTTATTTCGTTATATAGTTTTTGTTTATTTCTGTCTTGTCGTGGTGGGCTGCGCGGTCTGGAGGTTGGCCTGGCCCTATATCTTTGAGTTGTAGGACGGGTTGTTGTGGTAGTCGTGGTCGTTGTCGTCGTCGATGTGGTGGTTGTAGGATGCTCTTTTTCGTATAGTTCAAGAGCTTTTCTAAACAAATCCGTCTCGTGCGGCAGAAGGGGTCTATGTCTATCATGACTTTGGGTGTAAAAATTATCGTAGCTTTCAGTTGTGGCATGAGTAGGTATAGTCTTTGTTGCTTGCTTGGTAAGGAATTCTTCATGCAACTTTTCAACTTTTTGTTGTTCCTTTTGTTGTTGTTTCTCGACAAACTCTTGATGTTTTTGGATGATTCGTTGTCTTTCTTGAAGTTCCTTTAGTTTCTCCAAATTTTCTTTTGATTGTTGTTCATAGTAATTTTGAAGTTGGCCGTTAGTAAATTGATTCAATTGTGACTGGAATGGCAATTGCGAGTTTTCGAGGTTTATGTTTTGTGGAGCGAGGTTTGGGGCTGGATGGATAGTGATAGGATTCGGTTGACCAAAAATTATTTGATCTTGTGGAGACGATAAAGTAGGCAGAAAAGCTGCCTGTGTTGGTCTTTGCTGTCCGACATTACCAACAGTTCCTTGAATATTTGGATTTTGGTTAAAAGCAGGAGTATTCTGTGCTATAGGTAGTACGTTTTGAAATGTAGCAAGAGTAGGCACTGATTGTGGAAGTATGTTTTGGTTTTGTTGACTGATTTGTCTGAAATTTGGCTGAGGGAAATTGTTTAAAATATTTGGGTTTACATTGGGGTTTTGATTGTATTGAAAGGCATGGTTGTTACCTACAGGTACGTTGCTTTGTATATTTTGCACGGGTAAATTGCTTGGAATACCTTGAGTAGGTATACTGCTAAATTGTGGAACATATGGTGGTTGATGTTGGTGTGATGGCTGTTGAAGTTGTGGTGTTTGATGCTGAGGTTGTTGAAAAATGGATTGTTGGAATTGGATAGTTGGAGGTGGTGGACTTGTCAACAAAGATGATTGCTGTTGAAAGTTTTGCAATGGCGAATTTATTCCAAATCTGGTCTGATGTTCGTTGAAGCCTGGATGATCACCTGGAGGCTGCCTGCTTCTTTCATATTCATTTTCTATCTGAAAACGAGAAAAATACTTGTTAGATATATTTATTCTCAAATCAATATTTAACGATTAGTGTCGGTGCTATTCGGTAGTAACTTTCTTAATTTTTTTAATACTTTTATGTAAGATAAGGAAATGATTTTTAATTTTTGACATAATATAAGTAAATAATTAATGTTTATTATATGTGGGGCCCATATGCTGAATAAGTATAGGTTTTAGCCTAGTTCCGCAATGGATGCTATATTTCATATTTTAAGATAAATATTTCTTTTGTATTATGTAAATATATATATTGTTAACTGATATATTGTATGTAAATAAAGATTATTATTTTATTAGTTAATAGCCTGCTGATGAAGGACAAAGGTTTTAACCAATTGGTATGAAAAATAATTATTTTTTTGAGTTAGGTTCACTGGTTCCTACTTAGGAATAATTATCTTTTGATACCGTCGTAAAATACCCAAAGCGGTGATGTGATGCTGCATCGAAGGCCTGCAGAGCGTGGCGATTAAGGCAAATTATCCCTTAAACAAGAGAGGCCTATGTTTAGTAGAGACTTTTATTTATTTATACACTTAATTGTACTAAAGGTACAAACAAACGGCGGACTTAATGCCAAATGGCATTTTCTACCAGTCAATCGGAAAGTTAATGGGAGAAGTGTGTAGTACAGTGGGCTAGGATGAAAAACTTAAAATTCATAAAAAATCCATTTGATAGAGGATTTGACAGAGTCGTACAGCTGTAACAGCGAAAGAATTTGAGTGAAAACCAGTACAATACAGTATGAGAGGGAATTTGCAGTACGAGTTTGTTATGCAACCGAAGATGGCAATTATGGGAGGAACCCAGATATTGAGACTTACATTTCAAATACTCTGGGGTCAATGGATCTTTAAGGATAGTGAAAAGAGTGGTAAAGGGAAAGACAACTGTGTAGTGGTGGTATAACAATATGTATTACCCCATAACATCTCGTAGGTGCTGCAAAAGGTGACAGAGGGAAACTAAAATAGATGGTGGGCTAAGAAGATTGAAAACAATAAAAACTTTTTTTTTATAGGATAAGGGTGACAAACGAGCACACAGTCCACCAGTAAGTGGATGCTGTGGACCATAGACATCTACATTTAACTTCGCTCAAGAATCAAAATGCAGATGCGTTCTCACCCTTGAGGTCTAAGATGGAATGCCTCGGATTCCAGTAAAACGGATCTCCAGTTCTCTACACTCACCATACAAAACACAGCAGCATTAAAGCTGCTATTTTACGCTGGTATTCTGTGAGAACGTGGTCCTTCCTTGGTCGAGCCTACCCATTCATGCTACAACCATAATAGCTGCAGTGTGGCTCTAACTCGTATAAAATATGCTGCGGCTGCTAACCTGACTGTTAAGCATGGCAATTCCGTTAACATCACCCATATGAGGCAATTTATTGGGGAGGCCTTTTTAGTCCATAATAAATGGATGAACGGAAAGAGAAGAAAAGGCATTATGAGATAGTAAGTCATACATTATGAGATAGTAAGTAATGCATTATGAGATAGTAAGTAATATTGTGATATTGACAGACTCAAGAAGCGCACTCCAACACTTGGCTCGGTGCACCTTGGGTACACGAGGCACACCGATAGCCTACACCGTTCTGGATACTATACATGGGTCAACATCCAGGTCGAAATCGATAAAGTTGCAGTGGATTCCGTCTCATTTCGGCGTGGAATATAATGAGTGAGTAGATATCTTGCCTAGACAGGTTATTACGGATGGCATCGAATACAACATATTACCCCATTACACTGATTGTATTTGTATTATAAAAAGGCTATGTTACAACCTATGGAAAGAATATTTCGATTTACGTTCAAAAGAAAAGGGTATTTGGTACAAGACGGTACAGCCACATCCGCCTAAAATACCATGGATTGATAACCATAAGCTATCGCGACAGGATGCATTAGTGATAATGAGGCTTCGTACTGGACACATTCCATCTATAAAGTTTGCATTCCTTATGAAAAAGGTCCAGTCACCAAACTGTGATCAATGCGGTGTTGCAGATGACCTAATGCATGTCTTGATGGATTGTGCCCATAACGCTGCCTTTCGTATTGATAAATGCCACCACATTTTAAAATATTTCGCTGATTGTATATATAATTTTAGCTAAGCCACATTCTGACGATATAAAAATTTTAGTCAAACTTTACAAGGTGAAGTTCTCAGATCGATCACTCACTTCTCAATGTGATTGATCTGGGAACTTTTAATTTTACTTTTTGTAACTAAATGCATATCTTCTTCAACTTTCTGTAATTAATTATTGATTTGAGAACCTTATAATGTAATAAGTTTAAGTATACCTAATGTAATTGTTTTTTTTTTGGTGATGAATTAACGGAGCGACATATTCATATTGTGAATAAGCTCATTAAATAATTAAAAAAAGTAATACATTACGCATAACAAATAAATGAATGTATGTTATTTGGGGCCCAATAATCTTTTAATTCCGTTATATAAAAATCAGATATTCAAAAAAATGTATCGTGAAGAATTCTAAAACAAGGCCACAATTCACTGAACGTACGACAAAACATAAATGTACGTGACGCATCAGTAGCATGAAAGTGCATTCTTGATGCGCGTGTGCGCTCTGAGCTGCGGTGAGAACTCAATACTATCATTCACTGAGAAGTTACAACGAATAGACGACGTTAGAGTTTAACATTTGAATAAATGTTTTTATTTATGGGATAGGGTGACAAACGAGCACACAGTCCACCTGACGGTAAGTGGGCGGTCCATAGACATCTACATCTACCCTCGATTACGAATCAAAATGCAGATGCTTTGTCACCCGTGAGGACTAAGATGGAATGCCTCGTTTCCAGTAAAAAGGTCTCCGGTTCTCTAAACTCACCATGCGAAACACAGCAGCATTAAGCTACTATTTTACACTATGTCTATTATATGTGTGTTTCAGGGAATTTCGCCAATGACTTCTAGGCGTTTTTCACTATATAAATTGCCCAGTTTAATTAAAAATAAAATTGATATGACAGTACGAATCTACAGTCCATCATCAGCTGGATTCTAAGTTTATCATCTTAGTCCAGAAATGACAAGGCATCTACAACTTTGTATGAAGTTAGCGATAGTTGTTCATAGTAGTCCACTTACCATCAGGTGGACTATATGCTCAGGAGAGGATATAATGTCGGCAGCGCCAGTGGCTGGCACCTCAGCCACACCCCACTGGCGGCTGTATAATATCAATTATACGTATACTTATTATAATAAATAAAGAAAAATAGAAATGAGTAGATGTACAGTAAAACACAATTATAGTATAGTTTTTTGCATAATAATTGGGTAGGCCAGGACAGGCCTGTAGCCTTAGCAGGTGGATGTCAATGAAAAATATGATACTCGTACTAGAGTGAGACCGATGTAGAAGTAATCAAGTAGACGGGGCTCGCTTCGGAAGCTCTCAATTTCTATGAAAATTATGATTTTTATTTTACATAAGTAAGTAGGCTTCATTCTGTTTTCGTTTTAAAACCTCCTAGCGCGCCCTTTTGTTACCTCGCGCCCCAAAGCACGTGCCTAATTTGCCCTAAGGATAATCCGCCACTGTGTATGATTGATTGTCACTTATATATATATATATATATATATAGTGGAGGGACACACGGGCAGAGGAAGGCCGAATAAAAGATGAATCGATTGTGTGAAGAGTGATATGAGAATGAAAGGAGTAAGTATGGAAATGACGGCTGATAGAGAGGAATGGAACAAGAAGATTTACTGCGCCGACCCCAGATAATGGGAAATGGTTTAAAGAATGATGAATGATGATATATATATATATATATATATATATATATATATATATATATATATCATCATTCATGATATATATATATATGTATATATATATATATTCTTGTTCCATATATATATATATATATATATATGGAACAAGAAGATTTACTGCGCCGACCCCAGATAATGGGAAATGGTTTAGAGAATGATGAATGATGATATATATATATATATATATATATATATCATCATTCATGATATATATATATATATATATATATATATATATATATATATATATATATATATATATATATATATATATGCAGATGACCTAAAGATATCCAAAATTGTGAATAATAACACAGACAAAATTCAACTTCAAGAGGATATAGATAGAATTACAGAATGGTGCCGGCAAAATAAAATGTCTCTCAATACAAATAAATGCCATCACATTAAATTCTCTCGAAAATTTAACAAATATAATAGTAGTTACAATATGAATGGTGTAGATTTAGCGAAAGTAGATGAAGTGAAGGACTTAGGCATTGCTATTGACTCTCAGATGCGATTCACGAACCACATTAACAATACCATACACAAATCGTTAAGAATGTTAGTTTTTATTTTCAGAAATACCAATGATTTTAAGTCGATTTTAGCGTTAAAAGTTCTCTATTTTGCACTGGTCCGCAGTCATGTTGATTATTGTTCAGTCGTATGGTACCCGTCTTATCAAAATAATATTCAGCGTATAGAAAGAATCCAAAAAAGATTTTTAAATAAAATATCTTATGTAAGTGGCATTCATCGTACAATTCGCAGATACTCTGAAAGATTAGCGCATTTTAAAATTTTATCATTGGAGCAGCGAAAGAATTTGCTATCTATAAGCCTTTTACATAAACTACTTAATAATAAAGTGGATTGTCCATCCCTCCTATCACAAATTAACTTGAAGGTGCCCAGAGTTTCAGCAAGGTTGTGTAATTTTAGTCCCCTTAAGTGTAAATTTCAATAGCAAAAATTATGGTAACAACTCTCCTCTATGTTCTATGATGAGAAAGTACAATGATATATTCGGTAAATGTAATATAGATCTCTTTAGTGATAGTCTGGGTTCCTTAAAAAAGAAAATATTTCTATACTACACTCAAACTGAAAATTAAAAC